ATGTTGAGAAAGCAGAAAGGCATTTCCATAAGTAGTACCAAGCAAAAGGGCATTTGGTGTGTTTCTAAATTTCCTAAACCCCTTGAAGTACAGTGTCTGAAAATAAGATTTGAAATCCCAGTATACCTTGGTCCTTCCTCAGCTGTGGATAGCACAATTGTGTTATGTTGTCTTCTAATTTTAATGTAAAAATGTGTATTTCCCAACATCTGCCCAATCCTTCAATAGGATCCATGCAGATGTATTGATTTATCAGTGTAGGACAATGGTCAAATCAGAATAATATATTTTCAGATAGCACATATATGTATGTAGAGCAGCCTTGCAAAATTATTTTGAAAATTTACCAGGTCAGAAGCTCTGGTTGTCTGTCTTTTAAAATGAAGTTTGATAATAAAAACACTTACTCACTGTTGCAGAATATAAAGGAGGACAAATTAAAAAAATGTCCAAGACTGAGTTAAGAAAGCATAGATAAGAACCGAGAGGTACAGAACCAAATTCCACTACACTCATTGGTGCTAAGAGAAAGTTTGGCCCATAGGGTCTAATTCTTTTTTCATCTTCTTCAGAGGAGTTCTTCCTCTTTTATAACAGTAACAGGAGAATTAGTCCCATGCTGTGATTTGGAAAGTCAGAACTCCTAGTTTCAGTTCTCATCTCTACTACTAACTGTGTCTCAGGGTAGTCTCAAATGGGGTGCTTACAGAAGTTACAGAAGGGCACCTTGATTATGCTGTAACTTTTTGCATTTACACAAAGCACTTAAAGTCACAGCTTCATTGCAACTAACAGATGTTCAATGTTTGATCGTGGGGGCTAGGTTCCTCCATGTACTGGCTGAGGCCAGGAGGCAGGGGGCACTGTAGCCTGTTGTGGATGCCAGCCAGCCTAATCACTGCCAAGCTGCTCCCCCTTCCCTGCCTGCCAGCTGGCTGCAAAGAGCCAGCCAGGACTCATTCCTCAGTGTGGGAGGGTTGGGAGGGCAGTGTGAGGGCAGCTTGAGGAACTGTGTTCCCTCCCCACTGGGAGCATGGGGCACTGAGGACCTTCTCCCCCACCCCCAAATGCTACCCAGCTGCTCTCCCTACCCCACCTGCCATCTGGATGTACAGGGAAGAAACTTTCTACCTCCTCCCTGTGGCAGACCAGAGGCATGATACATAACCTTCATAGGGAACTGTATACAAGTTCCCAAAGGCATGCTAATTTAGAGTGCTTTCATTTACTACCTGATTTGACAAAGGTTACATTTTTTGCATGAACTGATATTTTAAAAATGCTCCGTAGCTGTGCACATGTGTTATGACATGGCTGCAGAGTGCTTTTAGGGGCCAAATCTCACAAAAAAAGTCACTTCTGCCTGCACCCGTAGTCAACTTAACAATGACTAAGTGAAGTTAAAATGCAAGCAAATGCATGTTCAAGCAGTTTAGTACATGTTAAGTGCCCTTGTGGTGTTGAAAAGTTATTCCCTTTCAAATAAGAATTAACTTGATATCATATGAGATAATGTCTCCTGACACATACTTTAATACATCACAACATTTTATTGATTTACATCTGTTGCAAATGAATGTCTGTGCAATAGAAATGATCTCTCTCACCTTATTTTTAAAAGGACTAATGTAATAAATCACATTTGTAAATGTTTTATGATCTTCCATTAAAAATCTCTGTAATTCATAGCTTCATAGATTGTAGAGTTGGAAGGGACTCCGAAGTATCATCGTGTTTGACCCCTTATCCCAGGCAGTAAAGAGGACTGAGGTCAGACAACTCCAGCCAGGTGTCTATCAAGCCTCCTTTTGAAGACCTCCAAGTTAGATGATAGGACCACCTCTCTTGGCAGCCCGTTCCAGATTCTGGCTACCCTTACTGTGAAAAATTTCTTCCTAATGTCTAACCTGAATCTACTCTACACTAGTTTGTACCCATTATTCCTAGTTACTCCTAGGGGTAATGCATTTATAGTATGTAAAAGGAAACAAAGTCTGGTTTGAATACATCTGAGGCCTCCGCAAAGTTGTTCAGTAGGACTTACTGTTCAGATTCTCTGCCCTATTTGCTGCAAACTGCTCTGTCATGCTAGAGTCGGACCTATGGAGGAAGGAGAGGAGCCAGGGAGACAGCCCAGGAAATATGCCCAAAGCTAGCATATGTATCAGGTACAGGCATGGGATCCTGTTAGACTGAAAGAAAGGGAACCTTCCGTGTGCTTCAGGCTAGCGATAAATGGGAAGACGAAGACATCCTGATTTCCCAAGAGGCGTAAGCTATTTTTACCACCGAGCTTTCAGTTAGCTCACAGCAGCTGGAAAACCATACCATACAGTACTGAGGCCTGTACCATAAACATCACACTAGCAGTAAAAGCTGTCTCTAATGGGGCACCATCCTACCACACTCATACTCCAGCTTACAGCCACTTGTATTTGTTGTTTCACCAGCCTGTCTGAAGCTGCCCTGAAGATAATACAACTTTTAATGAACAAAATGTTCTGGTTCAGAAAAGAGGCATTCAGATCATCTGGAGTGAGGAGGAGGAAGGACAGTGTCTTTATTATCATGTTATAAAGTACTGTACATTTGATAGCACAGTAGGCCAGATCCTGCAGTCTTTCCAAATGCAAAACTCCTTTTAGACCTTCAGTTGAAATCAAATACCCAGAGAAATTGGGCAAAGAGGATTTTAATTTATATTAAAAGTGGGGACATTGTTGACCCTTTTTAACAGCAAGGTCCTGAAGGGTTTCCTTGCTCTGTGAGCCCCACAAGTTGGCAACGTATTTTAAAGTATTTGATTATGCATTCATTCATCTATTCAGTCATTCATTCAGACACTCATTCATTCATCCCTGTCTTTTTGCAGGAAAAGAACATAAGCCAGCAGTGGCATACTTCTCCACTGTCCTGATTTACAGTGATCTCTCTGAGTTTGTATCAATAAATCTCGTTGGCCCTCTTCAATCCAGTATTATCCCTCATTAAGGGCTAGGATTTAAAAAGAGATTAAAAATAATGTCAGATTAAAAACATATATATTTCAATTGTGCCTTGATTAAAGTGCTGGGGATTTTTTATTCAATACCTTTAATATTTATGGCTCTCGGGATCTTTATAACTCATTTTCACAAACCATCTCTGATTTTTATGAGTTTGGCCTACTGGTTTCCCTCTCAGAATGGAATGATACAGCTTTAAGGTGCAGTGGTAGCTGGGAAGACAAAAAGAATCAGATAATAATAAAGGTTAGCATTTATAGAGAGCTTTGCAATCTTCAAAGCACTGTGCAAGCTTTAATGGTTTAATCCACAGTGAAGCATGGAAGTATTATCTCTGTTTTACAGATGGGGAAACTGAGGCAGAGAGGGAAATGAGTCACATGTGGTTACAGAGGCATGCAGTCCTGGAGCTGGTATGTATTAGAACTCTGTATTTGAGAGATCTTAGGTGTGTGCTCAGACTACTAGATCAAACCCCAAAGGACTAATTAGGGAAGACAACACACCTCAATTATCCCTTCTAGTGTGTCGCATACCAGCTTGAAAATGAGCAGGGGTTATGTATAAAAGATGGTATCTGCAGCACTACCGCGGCCCAAGAAAACCTTAGGAGGAGAGCATCCAGAGCTGTGGTGGCTGCTTTGATATCATGATGTGTGTGATAAGCTACAGCAGAAAAGATTTACAGGGACAAAGAGACAATGTTCCAAGTTTTCCCTTGTAAAGAAATCTCTTGTGAAGAGAGATCTATTGTTAAGAGAATATCTGCTCCAACACACCAAAGTATACCTTTTTAAGTGCACATCTGAACTTGCCTGCTCTACAGGATCTCTCAATGTCCTCTCAAGAGAGTGTTTCTCAAAGCTGTTCATGGCTAAAGTGCCCTACACTGTGCTTCTATTATCCAGCAGCCTTAGACAGCTGTAGTGTAATTTTGGATGTGAGTGTAGTTAGGAGAATCAACCCCCCCTCTGCAAAGTCTGCCTTGGCTGCAAGAGCAGCCCCACAACTGACCTTTGTCAGGGAACTTCAAAACAGTCCCAAGCTACTGCTGCTTTCGGAGCAGCAGCCAGGACAGGCATGGCATGCATCAGAAAACCCCCGGGACTATTTAGCAGCTCCCAGCAAGGGTAAGACCGACCCCTCCCTGCTCTCAGCACTGGGATCTGTCTTTTGCTATTGGGACCAGTGTTCACCTTCCCCTTGGAACCACAACCCTTTGCTCTCCTGCAGGGTTTGCCCAGGACGCCAAACTCCTTTTGTTATGCCTCTGTCAGATAGTGCTGAGTTTGCGTGTAGTCTATTTTGAACTTACAATGGTAATAAAATTATATGTGAGAAATATTATGCAACAGTTTCCGTCCCTCTATCGCTCTTGTTTCCTTTGCCCCCAAGTACACATCCCTTGTTCCCACTCATGTAATTCTTACACATGTGAAAATATTCATTGAAAAACGCTGAAGCCAATGTCAGTAGGGGTTGCCCATATGGTAACAGTTGCTGGAAAGCAATTTTTCCCATGCCCATTTTCTCAAACATACCAAATTAATCTTTCAGACAACTTGCAAAAGCAATGTGTCCCTGAACTGTGAACCTTGGAAAATATTTGACAGTGTATTAGCATCTCTGCTACTTGTTATCACAGGGAATAATGGTGTTTAAATGGGTAAGTTCATAAATGCCTTCATTTCTCGCCAGTGCTCCAACACACTTCAGCTTTTTTCCTTAGAAGAATAAGTTGTTCTTTTTCTTCACAATTTCTCAGAAGCATAAGATAAAACCCTCAAAAACACAAAGATGTAACCTTAATGTTTATTTATCCTTAAAAAAAATCTCAGTAATAACATAGTTAAGTAACATAATTGCAATGTATTCTAAAGTAATTATAAAGTTATTACATGTCTTTATGTTTCTTAGGCCGTAGTTACACTTGATACTTGAACCATACTAAAGGCACTTGAAAGACGAGTGTCCACATGTTAAAGCTCATTAATTCATGTTAAGTCCCCTCTGAGAGTCTCAATGTTAGGCCACTTCAGACAAGGGTTAACTTTGACCATGCTACTTAGGTTGTGCTAGGGTAACTTCAGTTAGCTCCCAGACTTTTCACCCCCTCTGCCACAGCAGGGATAGATCCCAGGTATCCTGGCTCATAACTATGTCCCTACTTCCTATCCCTCTAGGCTAAGTACAGACAATCAAAATACTTGAGACTGAATTGATTCAATCTCTGCAGGTTAGTCTAAACTGTACAGACTGAAACAATAAGCAAGTGAACAGACATTCATTTTTGATTCCAGAAATGAGACACATGGCTGCAGTGGCCCAGGTCAAAAGCCAGGGGGTGCTAAAATATGTTTCCCTACCTGGCTGGGACAGACATCTTGGGCCAAGGCTAGCCCATCCATCCTGCAAGGGGGTTGCAGGGTAGGTATAAAGCATCCTGGGATGCTGGGAAATCATGAGTTAACTTGAATCTGGAGGGGATCTGGGACAGAATTTCATTAAACCACTTTAACCGAAATCAGTTAAGTCTGATACTACAGCCATCCAGGTTCACCTTAAACTGGTTTGGGCCATTCTGAAAACAGTTTATGTGCACTGAACTTCTGTTGTGTTACAGATTTGAGCTGGTTTCTGATCACTTATACTAGTTTGTGTGTGATGTCTGGCCCTAGCCCTAGTGGCAAGTCAGAGCTGTGTAGGCAAGAAATGGTATTAACCTTTAAATGTAACAACTCACAGCACTTTCTAACTTTAACACCACTTAACATTCCATTGATTTAGTATGATGCATGTGTAACTTCAGGCAGGCTATGGTCTCCTGGTAAACAAAGAAGACAAATCACAAATTCAATCAGTATAGAACCAGGGAAGGGTGGTGTTACACACACACCCTAACACTTACTAAGTGCAATTAAAACGCAAGCAAAATCCACTTCTTTATCTTAACTTTGATTAAGAAACCTGTTATCACTTACGATACTTATATCCTCTTACTTTATGTGACTTTTTGAAGCTCCATTCCATAACCTTGTTTAGGTGCTGCAACTGTTTTTCTAAACTCAGAAGTTTCCTGAGTCCCACAGGCCTGCACAAACTACTGTTGATGGTAAGAGCTTTCTGGTCTGGTTCTGCCTTCTATTTTCATGGTGCTGTCATTTAAAATTGCTGGAAAAAACACAATAATAAGGTTAGAAATATCACAGAAAAACATACGCCATTTGTGATTTTTAAATATTTATGCATTTCATTATAAATAGCAAACTTGTTAAAATGAGGGTCTGCTTTTGCTGCAGGCAAGGTTGGAACATAGGGAACTATGTTTGGTACAGAGTGAACCAGCTGCAAAATTTGGGTCCGGGTTCATATTCATATTTTTATCTACACAGAACTTTGCAACTAAACAGACCTATATCTTACCTACTCATAGGACCACTGTTATCCTGATATCTGAGGATTCAACAGTTCCTAATATATTTATCCTCAGAGCAACCCTAAAATGCTGTTGACCCCACTTTCTAGACAGAAAATTGAGGGGCAGAGAGAAGATAACATAAGATGTGCCATACCAGGTCAGGCCATCTAATTCAGTATTTGTCTCTAACAGTAGCAAGGAATAGAGGGAAAGTTTATGAACATGTCAATGTTTAGTATAACCCATCCCATATCATACCCTTTTTTCATCTGCCATTATTTGTTTAGGGATGTCAGAAGATACATCTCTGACTGTTCTGTTTAATAGCTCTGAATGGCCCTACCCTCCATAAATTTGTCTAATCTCTTTAAACTTGATTATGCTATCTGCCTCTGTAATATGTTGTGTCAGTGAGTTCCACAAATTAACTATGCCTGGTAAAAAAGTACTTCCCCTGTTTGTGTTAAACATCCTGTATAACATTGCTTGTCTAGAGTCATATAGGAAGAGTCACACAGGGCAGAGCAGGAAAGTGAACCCAGGTCTCCCAAGGCCATTGCCATTACTGTATAAGGGTCCTCATTAAAGAGATGCTGAATATCAATCCCCCTCTTCAATATAATTTTTTAAAATGCCAAGCATTTAGAAAAAAGAAAACATTTCAAAGGAGAATATTAATGATTTTGTTAATATTTTTAATATTCTGTGAGCAGAAATTTACATTTAGAGCTAAAAAGTTCCTTTGTAAGGAAAACATTAAGTTATAATATTAACTTAAGAAAAATTTAGACTACAGAGTTATAATCATGTTTGTTGCTGGCAAACGTTTGGATTACCGTGAAGCAATGTTTGTTTAAAATTAGTTATTTCTACTGAAAGTAGATTACTCAGCATTGGTATTTTCAAAAGTTACTTCATCAAGTCATAGAAGAGAAACAAAGTAATGTGATTTGAGTGACTATTTTCTGTATTTGAAAACCTACTCTCTAATATTAGCCAAAGATGCTTTGCAGTTAACCTACAGATTATCAAATACCCATTCAGACTTTCTCTGAATGTTTTCGCAAAGCAAATATATTTACAAACACAAAGGTATTTCCAAAAGATTAGCAAAACAACACCCCCACATCAAATTCACCTTATTTTGTATTAGATGAATACCATTTAGCCAGCTGTAATGGCAATGCTGTGTGCTATGCATCGAAGTCATCATTGAGATAATACCAATTATACTGGCAAAGTTATACCATAGGCAAATTGGGTCTAAAAAATCTATTAGCCTTTGCAACCATCTCCTTTGAATTATATTTATTTCTCTACACAGCATTCTGTTTGTCCTGTGCACACTACAGCTGCATATTGAAGCAGCACAGTAAAGGCTTTGGGGATTTCCTTACAATAATGTTGAAATCTCTTTCCTGGTTAGTATTCTGCAGCACCATTCCATTTAGCAGACATTTTCTCTTCTCCAAGATTTCAATAGGCTACATTTATCAGCATGGAGCAGCAATCAACATGCATTTGCCTGTGTATTTATATAACTCAAATCTTTCTGTATCCAGCTGCACACTTCCTCATTATCTGCTAGTCCTCCGTTCAAAAATGTTGCTCTCTGTGCAAGCATTTTAGAAGTACTATGTGTTTGTGTGTTTGCATGTGTGCACATGCATGTGTGCATGTGTGCTTTTAAAATATATTGCAGTGTGATATGATGTTACCGGTACGATGGCTGCATTACTCATGAGTTGGGAAGCCATAAGTGAGTTATTGAAGTGATCTTAAACAGGAACAAGTGATGCCTCTATTTCATACAATGAAGGAGTTTGGTGTATGCTGTATGTATTACAATGTCACAAATATTTTCTTTTAAATGGTATTTGTCTATTTTTTGGTCTCCTTCAGTGGCATAACTGAGGGGGGGATTATATCTGTCATTGACTGGGGCAATAGCCCTAGGTGCCACCTTTGTGAGGGGATGGAAAAATTGTTGCCACAACAGTGACAGCTAATCGCATCATCACAACTTCTGAGGTGACTGGTTTCACCACTGCATCAACACTGCTTCCTATGTCATGTCTGCCCAGTGGAGAGCTGCCCTGCTATCCAAATCCTCTGTGCCTTGGATCTCTTTTGTTGTAATGTGTCTTTGAACCATAAATCCAACTCTGTAGGCCTTGGAGAAAAGAAAAAATCAAACACATTTTAGAAACCTCTACAGGTAATCTAAAATAACTTCCCTATATAGAATCAAGTCATGAAGTTAGGGCTCTGTATTTCACGACATTTAGAAGGAAGAAATGGCCACCATTAAGCCATGGGATAAATGCTATTATTGTCTTCTTTTAAGTGGCATAAAGCATATATATCAAGAGCTATTTGACTTTCCTTCTGTGGCTGGTCCTACTTATTTCCTATTATAAGACAGATCATTATAATTTGAAAGGGAAGTCCCATAGTTTGTGAGAAGAGATTCAAATAGGTGGGAGGTAATTTAAAGAAATGGAAAATCTCTGAGAATTGTTCCCAGATTCGGAAGGTAGTTCTAATGGAAAGGTATTAGTGGGCAGAACAAGGTGATTCATTCAGGATCGTATTGTAAATGATCTTATTGCATTGTCCCTGAACAGATTATTATACAAGTATAGCCATGTAAACAATCACACAAGGGTGACAACCTGGCCCCATCCAAATTGATGACAAATCTCCTATTGATTTCCAAGGGGACGGATTTCAACATATGTCTATTGTATCACTGATAGATGTCTATTCCATATTGTTTTGCTCCATGAGAAGTGTCTCACCAAGATTAAAGATGAAAAAACTCTCTCTCTTGGAGAAAATTCTTCAAACAAATGCAAAATTTGATTTATTTTGTACAATGCTTCCCAGCCAGTGTCTTGCCACCATAAATGGGGTTATGCAAGGCAATAAGAGAGAGTACAAGACATTGAAGATCTTATTTAAAAAGAACCAAAAACACCTCACTCCTCTTTCTCTTCACTCTCATTACCCTCCAACATCAAATGTTCTCTGTCATCCACCCAAAAGACACAATATAACTTATACATAGGCCTTATATATGTATTACTGTGATTACTGTTTGTTTTCTTGCCTTTATAATAAATGTAAAGCAGACACTTTTTCATTTCAAATAAAATGTCTGTGATTAGAAAAGATTAAGATAGTCTTAGTTTTTCTATGAACTTGCAAATTAAATATCAACTTCTTTCTTTGTGATCAGTCTGACAATCACATGAGCTTTTCCTGTCAAAAGAAGTTTACAGAATGGTTTCCATATTCTAATGTTGAGCCACAGAATGGCATATATATGTCTGTGTAATGGGGTGGTCCTCCAGCATGTCCCCTTCATGGTGGGATGGTAACTAACTACCTACTCTGATCCCCTAGCCTAGCCCCTTTCTCTGTCTATCTTTCCTGCCATGTCTTGGTGTTGTTTGAGATGTTTCCTTGAGCGACTGCCTTTAGGAAACCTAAGCCTAAGCCATAAGTATCTTGTCTCCCTATCCTGTCCCTGGCCCCAAGTTTGACTGGGCAGTGTGGGGTGATGCTCCCTCTCTTTTTCTCCTGCCCCCACCCCCTGCTTTCCTGTCAGTGGGTGAATGCCCAACCCTGCCACACTCCTGTCCATCTTAGTTCTCCATTTTGTCTGAGCTTTAGCCAGTCTGGGCTCTGGCCCCCTTCCAAATCTCTCACCCCAAAACCTTCAAAATAAGTCCAAAAATAAAACACCAGAAAAGATCACAGTGCACTGGGCACTCTGCTCCGTAGCCTCCTTGCTTCCCCTCACATCTGCCACAGTCCACCAAGTGTTACTACTGTCATGAGCAGAAAAAAGAAAAAAAACCCAGCAACCTGAAACCCAGCCCACACTGGGCTCTCTTACGCAGTCTATGGTCCTCAGAATACATCACTCTACTGGACCTTTCTGGTGTTATCACAAACAGTTCTTGGGCATATGTAGTAGGCCTGTGCAAAGCTTCGGGTGCTGATTTGATTCGGAGGAGATTCGGCCCAATTCGGTGGCCGAATCTCCAAATCTGAACTGAATCAGGAGACCAATAAAAAGGTCTGAATTGATTCAAAGCTCTCTGAATTGATTCAAGAAAGATTTGGAGACCTTTGGAAAGCTTCAGAGAGATGTGGCTATTAGGGCAGTCTCTGCTCACCACCACAGGGAGCTGGACCTGGACTCCGTGCCGATAAGTTGGCGGCTGCAGGAGGAGGGAAGGGACCCTCACCAGGACCCACCCCCTGCCTCCTTCCCCAGCCTACTCTCCCCTTCAGCATCCACTCTCTGCCCTTGTGACACATGCTTATTTGATGTGCCGAAT